AGAAGCCGATTGTGTACATGTGAAAGGTCGAATATAGTTCGTTTCCCAGGAAAGTGTTTGGCGGGCACTGATATACATACGAGCACCAATTAATTTCATTTAAAGAAATGGCGTGTCCATTTCCGCTGTAGCGTACGTAGTGCATAGGGCGACATCTACCTCTCGAACCAACGCTGTTGATGTCCAGACTTTATAGAAACTTTGTAAAGCAAAGCTTTTATAGCTGTCTGGACCAGAGAACTTAGATAGATAGAGAAGGTCCAAACTGAAAGTGGAAACTATTCGCGGACGATAAATTAACAGCGTTAGAAAAGTTCAAGTTGGAATGTAGAAATTCTGTTGAATTTAATGTTGATAAAATAATACAATGTTGAGCAACATGAATTGTGATGTTCTTTGCGAGCAAATACACGAAAATATGGTAAATCTTCACATAATTTTCATTATTTTGTAGTTTTTGTTACATTTTTTATCTTGTTCTCGTTTTATGAAGATGCAAATACAATTTAAAACAAGTAAGAAAGTCTAAGTTCGGGCGGAACCGAACATTAAATATCCGGCGCAAGTATTAAATATATGTTTTTCACCTTTCCGAAAGCTACCGCTACATGGTAAACCGGGGTGTATCCATTTTGAGTAAATTAGCTCCTTAAATTTCGAAATATTGAAGTTTCAAGCATTTCTGAAATTTACTGTTATATGAAAAGCGGCCGTAATTTTAGTTCGATTTCAATAATTTTCAACGGTTTGCTTCTATGTGGCAGGCATAATAACCACACCGAGTTTGGTACAAATTGGTAGAACGGTTACCGATATAAATATAAGACGGACGGACAGACAGTAACCGCTTAATCGATTTCTCTTTTAATCCTGATCATTTATGTATACATTTGTCTATATCTATCTCGACTCGTTTTGTATGTTACAAACAACCGTTATGTGAACAAAGTTATAATACCCTTGTGCACAAGTGCGCTCGGGTATAAAAACAGCCGCAGCACATCTCCCCGCAAATTCATCACCGTCAAGCGTTTTTTGCAGGAAAATACATTAATTTTTTTTAATAAAATCAAAACTTCAAAAATCACAAACATATGTGGTTTTATCGGAAGTTCACAAATGTAACGTGGCAACTTAGCTCGTTTTCACATTTTTCGGTCCGAAATTGTAAAATTTTTGTCCATGACGCGCCACGATTTTTGTACAGGTGGGTCAATGTGCCTTGAACACCATTTGTATAAATGCAAAAAAATTATTTCATTTATTTTTTAATTTAAAAAATGTTTATACTTCAAAGCGTTTATAAAAATATATTTACATATATGCACGGACGATTTTTAATATTTTTCATCCGTAAGCAAATCTTCTGTACCATAAAAGATTCAAACACATCAAAGTACAAGTAATGCAATGTTCAAGCAAGTGCTACTTCACTGTACATGTGTATATGAATGTATGCATGTATGCGTGTAAAAAATGTTAATTCCGGTTTGCTTTTAACCCATGTTAGCGGACATAGTTTTTTTGGTTTCAGCTGGTTGAAGCACAATTTTTATGTTTAATCCTTATGAAAGTTACATGTATCGTCGAGAACATGGTTACATGCAGAATTTTAAATTAATTAATATTATTCTCCATATAAAATGTACGAGTATGGCTTTATTAAATGTAAACTTATGCGAAAACCTAAATATTTCGTCAACCAAGGGTTAATTTTGGTGGCGTCGTTGCAATTCGCAGAAATTTAATAATTTGTCTGTGGATGGAGGACGGCGAGGGGAAGACGAAAGCAGATCAATCGTACATATTTATGCACATATTTACATTTATAAATGCACACATATTTATGCGTTTGTCTTTTTGGATGAATGAAAAATTTCATATATGTAGTGATTTAGAGATTGCCATTTCAGTAATATGCCGTGGCGTGTACGCTAGGGGCGATGCAACTTTTCGTCTCAAAAATCAACGGAATTTTTTAGCAGCTTGAAACTTGCACTTCTTCAAACTAGAATTGAATGGGCTACAAAACTGCATACCAACATGTTTTCTAAAGATTCTGGTTAAATAGTTTGAAATTTTGGTGGAAATTTGCAGAATTTTTATAATTTTTGTACAAACTTGAAAATGTAAATTTATATGGTGTTTGTTGTATTACCAGCTAGGCTTTTACAAAAAAATACGAAACATTAAATAAACTAAAGACAAATAGCCAAAACAGGTTAAAATATCCCACTCCTATTATTTTGTGGACAACTGTATATGTTCATGCCACAAAAATTATTTCATAAGTAGGTAATTTTAAACACACATTCATATGTATGAACACTGGCAATCAAAAGTGAGTGCATGCTGTTTTTTGTTTAATAATTGCAATGTTTTTTAAGTAAATTTTTTTTTGTTATTTTCGACGGGTTTTGCGGTTTTATGCATATAACAAGTGCAATATAAAAAATAGCGCTATTTTTTTTTTTTAATTTGTTTGCAAACGGTCATGCGCATTTTATTCTACAAGAAATTCCCTTTTATTTGGTAAAAAGTGCAAAAAGCCGTCAGCAATAAATAATCAATCATAATAAAGTCAACCGGATTTTTTAGCCGCTTAAAACTTGATCTTGTTCCACTAGAATTAAAAAACCGATCTATCTGCGTACTCAGAATTTTTCTAAAAATTCAGATTAAACAGGTCAAAATTTAGACAAGAATTCGTTGAATTTTTCTATGTTCTGTGTAAAGTTTGAAAGTTTGACTTATGTAGTTTTAATTAAAGCATGAACCACATTTTTATAAAAAGATAATAAAAAAAATTTAATTGAAAATCATTGCAAATATTAAGCAAAAAACACCATGCACTCACTTTTGATTGCCAGTCTATGTATGCATGTACATATTTGTGTAAACTTTATGCCAAACTATCATTATTTTAAATTGTATTTGCATCTTCATAAAAGGAGAACAAGATAAAAAATTTAACAAAAACTCCAAACTAATGAAAATTATGTGAAGATTTGCCATATTTTCGTTTATTTGCTCGCAAAGAATATCACATTTCATGTTGCTCAACATTGTATTATGTTATCAACATTAAATTCAACAGAATTTCTACATTCCGACTTGAACTTTTCTAACGCTGTTAATTTTTCGTCCGCGAATAGTTTCCACTTTCAGTTTGCACCTTCTCTATCTATCTAAGTTCTCTGCCTTTGGTCTACATGAAATTGTAAACATTGTTAATACATCCATTTTTCCAGCATCCAGCATGTGCTAAAAATCGTTCTTACCTAAACGGCTACATGTCCAAAATTACGCGAATGTCTGCTTCATGATATTAACGCATACGGATTAATTAGAGACTTCAAAATGTTTATGTAGTTCGTATGCACTATTTATCTCTGCCTACGGTGAGACCTCATGGGAAATAACTAATTACCGCCTTGGCCTCTTTTTTGGCGGGCAGGTATGCATACAATTTTGTTATTTTTTGATAATTTTTTATTTTTAATATTTTTCAGAATATAAATTTTTTGAATATTGGGATGTCAAATGAAAGCTTTTGGGTCTTTCTGATTGGCCGGAGCAGAAAGGTTTCTGATACAACTCTGCATTGAACTAGTTTTCAAACGAGTTAAATGATTTAACTGGCTAAATTTTCCAACAACAATTGCATGCGATTTAACTTGTTTATGAACATGTTTTGTTCATTTAACTGGTTAAAGCCCATTTAACATGTTTAGCTCGTCAATTTCAACGTAGTATAATGCGATGAAAGCATACAATTTGCAACCAGTGTCGCCGCGCATAATTTTTAATGGTAGCCAAATTCCTTTGTGGCTAAAAATGGTAGCTAAAATTTTTTACTTACATATACATATATAAGTATACATGTAAAGATTTTCAATAAGTAATGGTATATAAAAACAATGAACTTTGAAAAAAAAGCTAATATTTTATCCAACCAAAAACCTTTTTGTATAAAAGGGGAAATATACGACCCCAGCTTGCTGCTCGAAGCATATAACTTGCCAGCATGCTGGTACAATATTTATTTCTTTACAAATGAGGTCGAGGAAAGATCGAAATGATTAGAGCAGAAATTTCATAATTTTTCTAGCTTTTTGTTAAACAATCAGGGCTGTCATGGAATCCAAGTCGGTTTTGCATTTTGTCGGAATTACAAACCAATTTTGGTTTCATTTGGTGTCATGAAACCGGATTGGTTTTGCTCTTTTCGAACATAAACAAAACCGATGTTCGAATCAGCTGTTTTGCACATTTGTGTGTATGGCGATAATTTGAATGTATATTTTTTTGACACAATTTTATAAAATTGAATTGTTTTCAGTAATTTAAAAAAAAATAAGTGAGCGCAAAATGACATCCGCAGTTGTCGCATTTCTCTTATTGGAAGAAGAAAGTTCCGAGAAAGTTAAAAGAAAAATTTTGAGAGATTGCAGCAATCCACTTGAGCTGCCTGAGACAGCGTAAGTAGATTGTTTTTTAATGTGCGTTTATAAATATTTATAGCGTATTTGCAGTTTCATAGCATATTATCGCCTCAACAAAGAGGGTTTCCGAATGGTGCTTGACACCATTGAAGCGCACTTGACACGTTCGAAAGTTCCACCAGTGCTGCAGTTAGCACCTTCGTTGCGATTTTTAGCTGAAGGATCCTATCAAAGATCAGTCGGGAACGACTCTAGCATAAGTGTAGCTAGAAGCACGGTGTCAACGATTTTAGATGATGTGCTTAAGGTTATGGAGCGGTTCATTTGCCCTCAGTGGGTGAAACTAGAAATGGACGGCACCGAAAAACGCAGATCAAGAGACTATTTTTACTTAAAGTACAAAATTCCCTCAATAATTGGTTGCATCGACGGGACACGCATAAAAATCATCAAGCCGAGTATTGACGAACATTTATTTTATAATCGAAATTGATATTTCAGTATGAATGCCATGATTGCAAGTAATAATGAATCTTAATTTTACTCGTACATTGCCTTGTAAAACTGATTTATATATATGTATGTACATTTTTATTTAGATTTGTGATGGTCACATGAAAATTCGAGCGGTCGATGCATGCTATCCCGGCTCTAGCCATGACTCATTCGTATGGAACGTTAGTAGCGCCAGACAATATTTCCTCAAGAAGTATGAGTCAGTTGACCGGACATCAAAGTTGTTAGGAGATTGTGGATATGGCATAGAACCTTTTTTATTAACACCATACAGAGATCCACGCTACAACTCCAAAGAATATAAGTTCAATTTGGCCCATTCATCGCTCGAAATATTGTGGACAATAGGAGTGCTGAAAAGCCGATTTCGCTGCTTATTGATCACCTTGCACTATCGGCCAGAAAAAGTGGTGAAAATTATAAATGTTTGCTGTGCGCTGCACAATATCTGCAGAGACTACAACGTGGAATATAACGACGACAGTATTACTTTACCATCAAATGATACTGATGAAAATGTTGAATCTCCACCGAACGCAACACTGAAAAGTGAAGGTAAAAGGATGAGGGATGAAATAGCCAACAGTTTATAGCAAACCAACTGAATAAAAATTTAAATATTTTTATATATATATATATATAATTTAAACTTACACTGTTTTTTATATACATATGTATAGACGTGGACGGAGTAGAAAAGTGACATAAAAAGAAAGCTCGCACAAAACAAAAGCGAGTCTCGAGCGACTGGTGGAGGACCCTTTTCTAAGCACCAACTAACGCAAACGGAAGAGACAATAGTGCGCATATGTGGCATTGCACAGTCTGTGGTTGGTGTGGCTGGCAATGCAGTTGGCCTCAGCGAAGATTTAGTTTGTGCAAGTGAGGATGAAATGCCATCAACATCATCGAAGCGGCCAATGTCTCCAGTCAGCAGCACTCCTAAAAGACAAAGGACAGATAGTACTGGGAAGCGTTTGAAACAATTTCTCGATGAAGACAACGAGAGAAAGCTCGAAATAAATGAAAAATTGAACGAGCTAATTAAGATTGAAAAAGAAAACGACAGTAGCCTCAGACGAGTGTATAGAGCCATAAAAAAAGCAACGAATCTGGCACGAATGCAGTAACTGAGCTCAAGGATGAATTTGTCCGTATTAATACAGGTGTTTTGCGAGCGATACAGGAAAAAAACGAAATAAAAGAAAAGCAACTCGAGCTCGAACTCCTAAAGTTTGATTACGAAAAACAGAAAGAAAAGTAATTTCCCTTTATGTCAAAAAAGTGTTGGTTGTGGTCGTTATAGTACCTAAAAATGTGCCTTATTTTATTGTTATAAATAGTTATATAAGTTTTAGAAAAATGTATTTACTTATTAAATGAATTTTTGTTTTGTTTTAATGAATATATATGCGTGTTTTTTAAATAAATAAATATGTGTTTTTTATTTTTTAATAAATAAATATTTGAATTTTTATTCAGTTGGTTTGCTATAAACTGTTGGCTATTTCATCCCTCATCCTTTTACCTTCACTTTTCAGTGTTGCGTTCGGTGGAGATTCAACATTTTCATCAGTATCATTTGATGGTAAAGTAATACTGTCGTCGTTATATTCCACGTTGTAGTCTCTGCAGATATTGTGCAGCGCACAGCAAAAATTTATAATTTTCACCACTTTTTCTGGCCGATAGTGCAAGGTGATCAATAAGCAGCGAAATCGGCTTTTCAGCACTCCTATTGTCCACAATATTTCGAGCGATGAATGGGCCAAATTGAACTTATATTCTTTGGAGTTGTAGCGTGGATCTCTGTATGGTGTTAATAAAAAAGGTTCTATGCCATATCCACAATCTCCTAACAACTTTGATGTCCGGTCAACTGACTCATACTTCTTGAGGAAATATTGTCTGGCGCTACTAACGTTCCATACGAATGAGTCATGGCTAGAGCCGGGATAGCATGCATCGACCGCTCGAATTTTCATGTGACCATCACAAATCTAAATAAAAATGTACATACATATATATAAATCAGTTTTACAAGGCAATGTACGAGTAAAATTAAGATTCATTATTACTTGCAATCATGGCATTCATACTGAAATATCAATTTCGATTATAAAATAAATGTTCGTCAATACTCGGCTTGATGATTTTTATGCGTGTCCCGTCGATGCAACCAATTATTGAGGGAATTTTGTACTTTAAGTAAAAATAGTCTCTTGATCTGCGTTTTTCGGTGCCGTCCATTTCTAGTTTCACCCACTGAGGGCAAATGAACCGCTCCATAACCTTAAGCACATCATCTAAAATCGTTGACACCGTGCTTCTAGCTACACTTATGCTAGAGTCGTTCCCGACTGATCTTTGATAGGATCCTTCAGCTAAAAATCGCAACGAAGGTGCTAACTGCAGCACTGGTGGAACTTTCGAACGTGTCAAGTGCGCTTCAATGGTGTCAAGCACCATTCGGAAACCCTCTTTGTTGAGGCGATAATATGCTATGAAACTGCAAATACGCTATAAATATTTATAAACGCACATTAAAAAACAATCTACTTACGCTGTCTCAGGCAGCTCAAGTGGATTGCTGCAATCTCTCAAAATTTTTCTTTTAACTTTCTCGGAACTTTCTTCTTCCAATAAGAGAAATGCGACAACTGCGGATGTCATTTTGCGCTCACTTATTTTTTTTTTAATTACTGAAAACAATTCAATTTTATAAAATTGTGTCAAAAAAATATACATTCAAATTATCGCCATACACACAAATGTGCAAAACAGCTGATTCGAACATCGGTTTTGTTTATGTTCGAAAAGAGCAAAACCAATCCGGTTTCATGACACCAAATGAAACCAAAATTGGTTTGTAATTCCGACAAAATGCAAAACCGACTTGGATTCCATGACAGCCCTGAATATCTTGAACGTAATCTTCCACAAACACGGCTTTGACTCATATAGTGCAAGATATTTCCGCCAAAATACTTTTTACTTAGAAAATTGAGCTAATTTCACCACTAACGACACCAGCATGCTGGTACAATCACACCACAAGAACATACACGGTCAATCGACTTCATGGCTCATTTAACAAATTTAGCATATTAAGGGCCGTGAACTTATCTATTTTAAAGTATAGTTAAATCGTTAAAAGATAAGTTAACAGCCCCAATACTTTTACAGTATGGTGTTATAAAAGCGTAAGGTACATAAAATACATATATGTATATGTATATATCAAACTTTCTTAGTTTAAAAATTCATCTATTACATAAATGCAAAAAAAAACAATTTAAGCATATACAACTTTTTCATGCCAAGTATGAATAAATTCTAAAAAGGGCTAAAAAAAGGGGCAATTTTAAATTTATGTGGCCAAAAAAGTATTTGGTAGCTAAATCTAGCCACCAAAGGGCTAAAACGGCAACACTGTTTGCAACCCTACAAATTACTACAAATCACCTTATATGAATTCGCCTTAAAGCTAATCTATTACACAAATTTACGATATTAAAATGCGACTCTGACGTATGTATGATAGCAGCTAGGTTTAAGTTGAAAATGAAAAATAAAATTAGCGGCATTATTGCGCCTTATGGTCTGATTATGCATACTTCGCATAACTTCGCACAACTTCGCATAAACTTCAAACTGTAATTACGTATGTACTTTGTATGCATTTTGTGTGTATTCCAATACCCAGAAATTAGCAGAACTTTTAAAAACTTAGCGACCTGTTGAGTTTAGATTTTGCTTCACATTTTCTTAAGTTACACTTTTAGTGCACTGGTACAAATGGTTGTGCGAAGTTATGCGAAGTATGCATAATCAGACCCTTACTTGAAACCGAACAGTTCAGTCCTTTTTCGGAGGCTTGCTGACTACCAGCGTTGACCGGCATCAACGCACCAGGCCTCCATGGGAAATGCTGCTGCAGAGCTACAGCACATAAATTGCAGCAGCATAAACAACAAGCCAGGGATTGGCCGACATCAGCGCCGGCGGAGCGCTGGGGCTCCACGGGTATTGGTACGCGTACCAGAAGTGGGAAAAAGAACCGCTTCGACATGGCGACTGTGGGTTCGTCCCGAACAGCAGCGGCCATTTACAAAATTATAAAGAACAAAAAATTAAAAAAAAATAAATTAAAATTTATACGTGAATCAAAAATAAAATGGATTCTCAACAACTTAAAGGTGGTGGCAACAACTATAAAGCATAAAAAAAATTTAAAATACAAAAAAAAAACTTGAAAACGCATGGCGCAATAAACAGGTGAAGTAATAAAACAGCATTCTCTGTTCATTTTCTGACATTCGACAATGTTGCCTTTATTCGTTGAACGTTTTATGTGTTACTTCTTTGGAAGTATTTACATATGTATATTTTGGGGGCAATACGACCATTTATTATTTGCTTGCAACATTGTTTTATTTGTGATTAAAAAATTAATAATGGCTAAGCCAAGCTGTGCAATTTGCAGAAATACGTGGACTTAGGTTAGGCTGGATGAGTGGATTGAAGTCACCGGTGTGCCACTTACCCCGCATTCTAGAGTATGCGAGCTTCATTTTTCGCAAAGCGACATTTGCAATATAAGCTTCGGAACACGTCTACACTTGCTTAAAGAGGCTGTGCCCATGACTGTGGGGCACTAGAATCATGGGATCTGCCAATATCTCCTAGTAAAACCAACCCAGACAAATCAACCCAAACTTGGTAAGGAGTTTTTAACACGCGGGTAAAATACATTACACGTTAACTATTGCACAGCGTAAATTTCAAAATCCATACATATACTACAATAATAAAATTCTAAATAAATTAAAATTAAAAATATACATACATACATATCTACACATGCATTTTTTTTAAACTTCTATTTGTTCATTTATTATTTTAAATCACTTTTACAATAAAAACTACATTCACTATTTAACATGCTTGAAGTAATCATAACCTGCTAGTTATCTTAGTACTTAGATGAATATCAAACTGAGGGAAATATGTGCTCTCGTATACTCACCTGTATTCCATTCGCCAGTCAGCTTGGTAGTCTTCTAAACCGCAACCTGCTCGCTAAATTTCTACCTTTAGACAAACTCAATTTTGCACTCAAGTGACACGTTTATTTCACCAAATATAAAAGACAAACACAAAAAACAGCTCTGCCTTTCGAACATATTGTGGTTTATAAAATATATGTACACACATATATGTTTTAGTTTTGAAATTGTAAGCTCCCTGATCACGGAAACCCAAATGCTCAAAGCAAAAATAAATACGCTCGAAGCAGAAAACCGTTGTTTGAAGGCTCAACGTGCCGAATATGAAACTCTTAAAGAGAGTTTGTCAAAGTTTCTCTCAGAAGGACAGATGAGAAAGTTGGTATGCCCCGGACAAAAAATGCACTGGAGTTGGTTGGATATGTCCAACGCAGTAACACTCCACGCAGCAGGGCCAAGAGCCTATAACCATTTGTACGAAAAAGGCTACCCATTGCCTTGTGAATCAACAATGCAAAAGTGGTTGCAAAAGCTAAAGTTCAGTGACGGAATATTGCCTTTCATTATTGATTTCATGCAAACCGGCACTGACCTGTCACTTGCGGACCGCTTAACGGTTCTCGCATTTGACGAGATGAGCGTGGCTCCTGTATATGAGCACGATCGAAGGATGGACATGATCCGAAAACCATGTCATAATGTCCAAGTAGTCATCGCAAGTGGGCTAAAGTCGTCATGGAAACAACCAGTATTTTACGACTTTGACAGAAAAATGGCCCCAGACCTCCTTCAAGATATTATACACAAACTTTTTGTCGCCGGCTACACAGTGGTTGCAATGGTGTCTGATATGGGCGCCAGCGACCAAGCTCTTTGGAGGCATTTGGGCCTATCTCCGGGTACATTACTGTATAGTAGACATAAAAACGTAATCGTACCCTTTTAACAATTTACTTATTTTTTCATAGAAAGATCATGGGTTCAGCATCCTTTGGATAGTGAGGCAATGGTGTTCGTTTTTGCTGACGCCCCTCACTTGTTAAAACTTATCCGAAACCATTTTTTGGATACTGGGTTTATGCTGGAAGGAAAATTCATAGCTCCAATCAGTAAAATAATGAAGTACTCGTCTTTTTCGGACGTATCAATCGCGCACAAATTGACTGAGGAGCATCTACTTGTGCATCATGCGCGTCGGCAAAAGGTGAAATTAGCAGCACAGCTATTTTCAAGCAAGCGCAATAAGGCAATGCTATCTACTGGG